GGGGTGAGTGATGCCCTTAGATACTTGGGGTAACTTCTCTCCCTTCCCGCCGATTCTACACGCTGCAGCCCAAGGGCTCGTGGCAGAGGGACCCCTGTTCCGAAAGCCCTGCAACGCGCAGGCTCTCACGCCCTTGAGTGCCCCAGAATCACCTCGAACGCCTGTTGAAAATGCAGATTCCCCGGCCCTGGCCCCCAGAAACTGTGATGCCTCCAAGCTCTGGAGCGGAGCGTGCATTTTAGTAAGTGCACCCCCCAAGGGATTCTCATGCAGGTAGCCTTGCAGGGGATTGAGTTAAATGACAGACCGTGAGATTTCTAGAAATTTCTCACATCTAGTAGCTGGGGGTGGGGTTGTGTGTGTGTAAAATGTTGGAGTTGTTAGTGTATTTTTTTTTTTTAATTGAGTGCACAGCCTTTTGATAGATAATTTTGCAGTCACTTTGGACACATCCTTCTGCATAAAATGCATTTATTAACGCTTGTCGTTTGCTGTGGCCAGCACTTCAGCAAGGAGTGTGTGCTCCTGTGGTTACTAAAATATTCTAATCTCACTGTCAGTCAGTCACTGTCATGGGTTCCTTGTGTGTGAATTTTGTTTTGGTTTTTGCATGTATCTCCAAACACTTTGCATTTGCTGGGCCTGGTCATGCATTTTGTCCACTGAACAAACATTTACTTAGGACCTACAATGTGCCAGCCGTTGTGGTAGGTAAACGGGAGACACAGATGCTTATGGTCTCCTGGAGGGGACTCCCGCAGTATCTAGCAAAATAAAAAATTCACCTTCGTTTTGGCGCACAGTTTTGCTTCCAGAAACTTGTACAGGAATACACACCTGAAAATTATATGCAAGCATGTTCACTGTCTCATTGTTTCTAATTCCATGATGCACATTTTAATCTCTATGAAACTGGGCGCTTCATATAGTCAGTGGAATCTCAGATTTGATGAAATAAGGAAATGAAAAACTGCAAAATGCTAAAAAGCTTGTCAGTAGGAGAATGACAAAATGAAGTAAATACATTCATTGGCTGGAATAATGGGCAACCTCTAAAAAGGAGGAAAGAGCCCAGCGGCGTGGCTCACTGGCTGAGTGTCGACCTAGGATCCAGGAGATCCTGGTTCGATTCCTGGTCAGGGCACATGCCCGGGGCACATGCCTGGGTTGTGGGCTCAATCCCCAGTCGGGGGGCGTGCAGGGGGCAGCTGATCAATGACTCTCTCTAATCATTGATGTTTCTATTTCTCCCTCTCCCTTCCTTCCTCTGAAATCAATTAAAAAACATATATATAAAAAAAAAAAAGAGGAAAGAGAAGTGCATGGATACAATGGAGATGTGTCTGTGACATTTCAAATCCCAAAAGCAAGTGGCAGAACAACAGAGGTTAAGAGCATGAGCTCGGAAGTCAGCCTGCCTGGGTTCAAATTCTGGCTCTACCACTTAGTAACTGTCACCTTGTTTTTCTCTTTTGGGAAATGGGGAACAAAAATAACACTTCCCGTGTAGGCTTGTTTTGTGAATTAGTTGAGAACATGCACAAAAGTGCCTAGCAATAGCACCTGACTCTTAGTAAACATTGAATGAACATTAGCATTTTTACTGGCATCATTATGCTTGGAAATGGAAAGTTCTGGAAAGATATACAACACGCTATGAATAGTGGTCTCCTCTGGGAACAGGAGTGGGATTGGACAAAGAAGCAGACAGAAAGAGGGCTTTCACTCTTTTGTTTATTGTTTGAAATTTTTTCTGCCTTGAGGATGTACTACTTTTATCACTTAAAAAGAATTTTTAAAAGACAAAATAGGTAAGACTTGGTTCCAGCCCCAAAGTGATCCATAGTGTAGAGGTGGAAACTGATACACAGAGAGGCAGTAATGCAGGTAGGCAAGTGGTTCTGCAGGAGCCCAGAAGGGACTCAGGCCAGGCCAGCGGATAACCCAGTATACCTCCTTTGGTTTTTCTTGCTACAGCAGTCGGTGAGGAAGCCTTGGACATGAAGACGTTGAGCTTTGGGTTACCTCCAAAACAATTTGAGAGAGAGGAGGAACACACGAGGCGTGGACCCCTAATCGGAGCTATGCAGGCGCTTTCATGCACGGACACGGTTTCAAGACTTCTGCTCTGGCTCAGATAAGATTAGTGGGATCCTGTGGATGCTTTCGGTGGTTTTCAACCACTGAGACAGCGCAGTAACTGGGGCTGTGCAGGTGTGTCCTGGACAGGGCTGCCTGTCCTAGGAGGCAGTGGGTCCTGAGATTGCACCTGCCTGGAGGAATGGGTGCCTTTTCCTAATTTGTATAAATACACCACAAGGACTAGCAGTGGCCCTGGCATTGATTTAAAAGAAAACCTGGGACTGGTTCTAGGACAAGTGGTAGAGGTGTATAGTTTACCCCTTTCCAACTTATTTTATACACGATGTCTTGCAGGATGACCCTTCCACCCTGACACAGGTCACCCGGCCCATCAGGACCTGGGGTCATGACACTTGTTCTAGTTAACATTTACTTTTTTAGAGGCCTTCAGTTTTCTAACTCATTTCTTTATCAATAAATATATATGGCACAACTATCTGCCAGGCATCATGGTCGACCTGGGGACTGAATGAATGATGGGGAAAACCAGACCCACGCTCTGTGCTCTTAGTGCTGATGATCCAGTAGGGAAGAGATACATTAATCAGACAATCACCCAGTAGTCACATGTGACAAATGTTAGGAAGGAGAAATGTGACCTAGTGAGAGGGACATGACCTAGTCAGGAGGTCAGGGAAGGCATATATATATTATATATATAATTTAATTCTCACCAGAGGATATGTTTTTCTTTATTCCAGAGAGGAAGGGAGGGAGAGAGAAACATCGATGCGAGAGAAACATCGATTGGGGTCAGGGCCGGGGATTGAGGGTGCAGCTGAGATATGTGCCTTTAGTCGGAATCGAACCGGGGACCCTTCAGTTCGCAGGCCAGTGCTCTAACCACTGAGCAAAACTGGCTAGGGCAGCTCATGTTCTTAAACAACAGGAATGCAGCTGTTTTTTTCTTCTGTGGATATCAATTATTATACATGGAAAATAAATTTTATTATTTTTTAAAAAATATATCTTTATTGATTTCAGAGAGAGGAAAGGAGAGGGAGAGATAGAAACATCAATGATGAGAGATAGAGTCATTGATTGACTGCAGCCCACAACCCGGGCATGTGCCCTGACCGAGAATCGAACCCTGATCGCCTGGATCCTAGGTCGATGCTCAACTGCTGAGGCACGCCCGGCCGGGCGAAAATAAATTTTAGACATAGAAGTTGAGACCTTAAATATATAACAAGATTCCCAATAGAAAATGTGTTGTAATTAATACAAATCTGTCCCCAAAGTTCTGCCCACACAAATTTATGTCAAGCTTGCAACTAATTAGGGAAAATGGGGAAACAGGCAGGTAAGTCATTTCATTCTGTTTTTTGTAAAAAAAAAAAAAAAAGTACTGTTATTTTTTTTTTCTTAGCTATGAACTAAACTATGAGGGTTGGTTTATGATTTATGGGAGTTAGTCGAATGTAGTGATTAAGAACATGAATTTTAGAATCAAACTGCCCGGGCTCCAATCTTAACAGTGTAGAGTTGGGTGACCTTGAATGAGTAATTGAACTTCTCTGTGCCTCAGTTTCCTTAGTGGAAAATATGAATTAATAGTAGTGTTTGTATCTAGGTTGTTAATGATAATTGAGTGACAGTACATTTTAAGGGCTTACTTAGCATGATACTCAGCAGATAGCAAGCCATATGTTTGCCATAATATTATTTTTATAGTTTTTTAAAAAGAAAATGATTAAGCAACTTTTTGGGGGCAAAATAGCTAAGTTTAGAATTGAGAATATAGAGACTTCAGAATAAGCCCCACTGAGCCAGCCTTTGTCTCCCAGTCACTGGGAATTTTACTGTCTTACCTACTTTTGGTGTTTTTCTGAAGAACAGAGCTGTGAATAATTGTACCTACCTTGCTTTTGAGAATTTTAAGGCCAGAGCTAAGTCTGAGAGTGAGCTAGCCTGAAAATTACCTTGGAAACCAGCCAAAAAAAATCTGGTTCAAAAGCAGCAGACTGTACTTTAGTGCTTTGAACTGGTGACTACTGGCAGGTACTGTCCTGGTGGGGAGTCGAGGCCTTGGAGCCAGCCTACCCAGGTTCAAATAATAACTTTCTA